GCCTTTAATTTTGTGCTTCTAAAAATGATAACAGAAAATGGGTTTTGACTGATTGATAGATTAGATTAAAATACATTCAAGCATTAACTGATAATTAATTAAGAATTAAAATTTATAGTCGCATAAAATTAAATATGAAAAAGTGAATGAATTTAATAATTTAAGTTTGTTTGTTTGTATGTACTTTTTTCTTTCTTATCAGCAATGATAAATTAAATTCTCTTCAGACTGTTATCAGAGATTCTAATGTTTGTAATTTAAATAATTTCCAGCTACATGCAAATACTTCTACCAATTAAGCTTATCATTGAGTATTATCTTTTGATAGATTTACTCTTTCATCTATTTCCATTGATTACGCACCGGAATTTTGATGCGGAAGAAATATTTTGATGCGGAAGAAATATTTTGGCGGAAGAAATATTTTGGCGAAAGAAATATTTTAAATTCTTTTGCTCTTTCCCTCCTTCTCACTCTCCCTCTCTCTCTCTCTCTCTCTCTCTCATTTCGTTAGAAAAAATTTTTATTATCAGAAAATATATGAAATATGTTTTTTTCATTTTTGCATTCACATGCAAACTGCAGAAACTTGCATAATCTTTTCACTTTTTACAATTCCTTTTTTTTTTCTGATGAAAAAGAATAAAATTTGAATATTTTAATCGTTTCAAATGAACTCAAAAATAAATGGTTGAATGGAATGTCTTTTTGTTGGCTCATTATTTTATAAAAATTTGAAATTTAAATTGTTCCTTTTTTTTTTTTTTGCAAAAAATTTCACAGATGAAAGAGCAAATAGACTTCGTTTCATTTTTTGTCATCTGTTTTTTTTTTTTTTGATTGAAATATCTCAAATTCGTACCTTTTGGTTCTTTTACAATGATTTCATCTGTTTTTTTTTTCTTCCTACTTTATCCAAGAATAAAATCACAAATCACAATTTTCAATTTTTGTTGTCAATCAAAGAAACTTGTCAATATTGATAAGTTGAATTTTTTGTTTTTTATTTTTTAACTTTAAAATTATTATAGCAATGAATAAATATTGAATGAATTTTAGATTTTATATTAGAAATGATACTATTTGCCCTATTTAAATTATATCTATTTGATAGCTATTTTTTCTTTTTTTTTTCTTTTTATCGAGGTAAGATGAATATATTAATTGTACCCGTTAGTAACAAATGTTCACTTCCCAATTTCATCACAATAACCCACAATTATGGGAAGGATGCATCTTTTCTCGTTGTCATGGGTAACCAAAATTTTCTGAAAAAAAAAAAAAAAAAAAAAAGGATAAGGTAGATAAAATTTTTGAGATCATTTTTAATCTCTACACTTTTTATAATAAAATTATTGCTAAAGCTTTTTGATTGTATGTATCGCTTCAAATTTCATTAATGAAAAATGAAGATGTAACATCTTTTGGCATTCTATAAAATCAATTTCAATTTTGAATTTAGCATTTAGCAACTTTCGTTAGTAATTTTTACAGTATGACGTAATTGCTAAGTATATATTATTAAGATATTTGAGAAGTTATTAATTTGAAAAGCCTATAACTACTACTACTACTACTACTATAAAAGTAAAATAACCAAGAAGACAAGAACAATTATCAGTACGTACGTCTCATTATGACGTACGTATACTAATTATCATTTCCTTTGCATATTATTAATTATCAAATTTAAAAAAAAAAAAAAAATTCTTCTTTTTTCAATATTTTAATTTTATTTGTATGAAAAAATCATTTCAAATAATAAATTTATCACCTATGAAACAATTTTAAATGCGATAATTACTATACAAATAACTGATTGAGTTTAAAAAGAAGGCAGAATAAAGGATTGAAAATTATTGCTTATCATATCATATCATATCACATTATATTTTATATTTTTTTAAAATTTATCACCTATGAAACAATTTTAAATGCGATAATTACTATACAAATAACTGATTGAGTTTAAAAAGAAGGCAGAATAAAGGATTGAAAATTATTGCTTATCATATCATATCATATCACATTATATTTTATATTTTTTTTATTATGATAAAAGGAAGAGAGAAAGAGATGAGAATGGAAAAATGATGAAGAATGTAAGAAAAAAGTAAGCAAATCATCATCTATCGAATGAATGCAAACAACCACTATTCCAATGATAAATCAATAAAGCAAAAAAAGAATTTTTTTTTCTAGTTCTGGTGGAAAATTTCGAATTTAATTCAAAAAAAAAAAAAAAAGAGAAATATGACTAATCCAAACATAATTAGCAATAAGAACAAAAAAAAAAAAAAAAAAAATGGATGCAAATAAAATAAATTATATAAATGTAAGACATTATAATTTATCAGTTATAATTAACAATAGACAATGTTTGATACTGATAAGATATTATAGTACATATATTAGCTAAGGCTAATTGTTGAGCAATATTTTTGAGTTGAATTTTTGTATGGAATTTTGTTTTTTTTTTTTTTTTTCTAATAAAATTTACTATATTATTTATATGTTAACTGATAAGTTTACCTCAGTAAGATTACAATTATTTCAACTAATTTCAAATTTAGTGATATGAAATTAATACTAATTTACTTCAGTAAAACTATAATTATTTTAAGTAGATGAATACATAAGAAATATTATAGAATAAAATTTAAAACAGAAGCAAAAATGAATGTGAAATGTGATAAAGTATGCTTACATTGCATAAATAATACATCAAAAATTGGAAATAATTAAAATGAAATAAATTAAACTAAGTTTGATCGAAGTGAATGCCACATTGGTAAATCCTCAAAAAGTTTATTAGTAATTTTCGAAATGGAAATAAATACCAATGTTAGTTGTTTTGTGAGTAAATAAATGCTATATTGCTAACATTTGACGAGTAATTAATTATTAGTGGAGCAATTAATAAGATGAATTTAGTGATTAGAAAGCAAAAAAAAAAAAAGTTGAAATTCTTTTTCAGCAAGTAAAATATCGAAAAAAAAAATATTGAAATAATCTGAAGGTAGAATAAATAATAAACAATAAAATGATTAACGGATAATAACAGTAACAATTAGAAATATCAAAGAATTGATAAGAAATGATAAATTTTTTTATTGGATTGTAAAATTTAAAAAATATATTTATAACAGAATCAATACAATTTAGGGTAAATATTGGTGAGTAAAAGAGTAATCTAAGATTGTAAATGATGATTTGTCAATATTTTGGAGTATTCATGGTGAAAAATATAAACAACGGCGGTAAGATTAATTAAAAATTGGTGAAAACGGGCTGCGGGGGGGGTGGGAGGGGGGAAAGGAGGGGGGACAAATGGGAAGAAGGAGAAAGGGAAAAAAAAAAAAGCTATGTGTGAAGGTTTGCGGGGGTGAAAGGATGAAAAGTAGAATAGAAGGAGGGAGGTAGATGAATGAATAACTCTGAGAGAGGAAGAAGGGAACAGGAATGATGTGGGAGGAGGATGAAAATGAAGCTTAAAGATGAGAAAAGAGAAACGAACTCTTTCTTTTCATCCCTTCTTCCATCTCGATCCGATACACTCTCGAAATTCTCCTTAAATCGATGCTTTCTTCCTTGAATAAATATCATTCCATTTCATTTCATTCCATTCCATTTCATTTCATTTCATTTCATTTCATTACATTCTATTTCATTTCATTTCATTACATTCTATTCTATTTCATTCCATTCTATTTAATTTCCATTTCATTCCATTTCGCTTCATTTCATTTCATTTCATTCCATTTTATTTCTATATTTGCACTACAAGAAGAATCTATGTTTGTAAGAGTAAGAATAACTAATGCTTCTACTTCTCATTTTCTATTTCACTAACTTACATATCGATAAAAACAGGTATAAAAGGAGAGAATAAAACTTAATTATATACTTCTATAATTTCATTAAGGAACAAAGTAATGAAAAGAAATATGAACAATACAATGAAAGATCAAGTATTAAGTAGTAATGCATCTAAGAAGATTTCGTGCTAACTTTTTTGACGTCACTTTACAGCAGTGAAATAATCTCTGCTATCTCATAGTGATGGTCACAATATTACAAGTTATTGAAACTTTTTGCAAACAGATTATATTAGATAAATTAATTTCATCCTGCATGACATTATGAAATTGAGATATCAGAAGATGCATTATGCATGTCAGAAAAGACATCAGTCTAAATAAAACTAATTTCACTATGTTGTTTATATGAGTAATTTGAAAATTAATTTCTAAGTTTTTCTTTAAATGATAACATATTCAATAATGTTATGTTCCATTTGTACTATGAAAATAGCATGTAAGAGATATAATCAAATAAAATTTTATGAAACGAATGAAAGTTACATATACTTTCCCAACTGACTGCTTGGTAAAAAAAAAAAAAAAAACACTCTTAAAGTGATCTTAATATAAATGTACATCAGTTTTTGTCAAAATTGTTTGTTAAAAAGTCCAAAATCTATAATTCCTTACTGAATGAACCGAACTATTACAATATGAAATAACTTATACATTAAAAATTTATTAAACAAAAATCGACATAAAGAAAAGAATTCATCAGCTCTGTGTATAAAATGCTTTGATACACAACTTACACGAAACGAAGAGTGAATACTCAATAATTAGTAAACAAATAAGGAGCAGGAAGAGGGATAAAAATAATGATACCGGATAACAGACAGATGAAAAGACTATAAAGCACTGATCATCAATAAATGAGCCATATTTTCATTAAATCATTCGACAAACAGATATAGAAAAAGACTAGTCCGTTTCAAACAAGCATTATAATTGAGCTCTGTTTCAATCAAGAAACAATATAAAACATTTTGAACTTAACGGCATGCCACTTCAATCAAGAAACAATCTAACATTTCAACTTAACAGTCACAAAAATGCATTTTTTTTTTTTTTGTACAGAAGCATACTTTGGACAGAAGCTGTTCTTGAAATAAGAATCAAAAAATGTGAGGGCCGATGTTACAAGTTCATATTGATAATAGACTCATCGCAACTCAAATGGTTGGACGCTAATTCAAATTGAAAATCAGAAATTCTGGAGGCAGCTTCGATAATACTTCGTTCTTCATCTGATAAGTGATCGTTTAACTTATATAAAGCATGCAGAATTTCCAATTTTTTAGCTTCATATATTTCGTCTGATATTTTTCGTAAGCGATGCTCGGCTTCTACCTAAAATTTGGTTGCTCGCATTACATCAACAACAAACGTATCTACATTATATCAATAAACTAAACAAACACTCGAATACACTAACCACACTGTTCGAAATTCGATGATCACATAAATCCTTCCACATCATACTGATAAATCAAAAAATCTCCCATATACTCTACTCCCAAGATTTTAAACTAAGTAATTCACACCACATCATTAAACAGTCGAATGTTCCATCACTCATATCCTATAATATTCCTTCTTTCCATTCTTCACTATTAGTGATCAAAGTTCTACGAAAGCACTATCGCATCTTTTTATAAGTTTTAATTTTACCAAAAAACTAACCTGCATCAGTTTCTGCCGAAGTAAAGCAGGTTCTTTTTTGGCAAAAATTGCCACAATTTCCGGCGTTTTAAATGCTTCACTGATTGCATTTTGAATAGCCTAAATAAAATAAATAAAAACAAACAAATAATAAAACAGATAAACACAAGAATAATTTTGCAATAATTCTAACACATCTACTTTTGAATTTGCAATAGTTGTAATTAGGTATTTTATATTCTAATAAAAAATTCTCACAATAAAATTACCATTTTTGTAGCAGTTAGCTCATCAGTTAACGAAAAATCACCACATTTCATACGATCCAATGTATGTTCCAGTTCCCGAAAAACAATTTATCAAAATAGAAAATTTGCAACAACCAATATGTATAGTTTCATCCACAAAACAAAAATGTGTGAAAAATCGCAAAAAGGCACGAAAATGTGCAAAGTGTTAAACACATTAAATTTCAAAAAGATGAAAGTATACTACCTTCAACTGCTCTACTGTTTCATTCTTCATTTCCAAGTATTCATCGTTATCCAACGAATCCCTAAAAATACAACACTTCATACCAAATATTGTCATGTATCTCCAAAATACTATAACTTTTCTGAAATATAAAAAATGAGATTCAAAACTTTACGCTAAATATTTCTAGTGAAAACATCTTCATATTCCTTTCCTCTTCTTCAGAATTCAATTTATGGATAATATCTATATCTTTAATAGATCTGAATACAGTTAAAAACCTAATTTTCTTGTTCAATTTCAGCCAGCTGTAACATAAGACGATCTAACTGACTTCGTATACTCGATATCAATACCAAATCATCATCATCCATTCAGTCCTGTAATTTCATTTCAGTTTGATGGAAATAAGCAAAATATAATCATAATAACGATAACGATAATTAGAATTAGTTTCTAAAATTCTGAATCTATTCTGACAATTATTAAATAATACAACTAACAACACTAAAATTTATTCCCGAATTTTAAACCAAATTTCTTCAAGTACCATGGCTCTATAATCGATGAAAATTTAGTAAGGAAACATAATCCGTGAACAGCTGTATATAGATTTATTTGATTTGGTTATTATTGTTAAATTTCTATTCCAAAGCTATTACTTTGATTAATTAATAGTGGATGAGAGTTAACGAAACAAATCCCCTTTTTCTCCGGTCGTCATCCGGAAACTCACCAACCACTACTAATGGATCAGCATCTTTCGCTGAGGAAAAGTATTCAGCGGTTCGATCTACAATTATTATCTGACATAATAGAGAGAGAGATGACACGTCCGTGTGTCATCCCACGCGGCTTTGATGACACGGACGGATGACATGCTAGATGGTAATTTGTTGATATTTCTTGGACAATGATGCCGATTGCTTTGAACAGATCGAAGGGTCAACTGAACACGTATACAAGGAATGGAAATATTCCCAAATAGTGCTTTCTTCTTTTCGTGCTAGTTATGTTCATTGATCTGTGCATAATTTATATTGGAGAAAGCATTTGAAAAAGACTCAAGATATCTCATAAAATATTTAGAGTAGTAGGAATTCCAAAAAAAAAGTTCAGAGCTAAATTCCACATATAGATGACATGTTTAAATGTTCATCTTTTTTTTTTTTCAAAATAATAAATCAGTAGATAATGTTGTATTCATTTTAATAATTACTTTTATATAATTTATTTATACCTAGATTTTTTTTTTCTATGATGTGGAATGCATAGTTTTTAATCAAAGAACAGCGTATTTTCAGTATAGGCAGATCGTGAAATAGGAGTTTTTTTGTCATTTTGGTGCTTTGTCTTTTGTAGAATTAGTTTCCAAACAAAAATTTTTGAACGAAAATATATGGCAATGATGAACCACTGTTATCTCATTATATTTGCTTTATTTTGAAGACGTATTTTTGAACAGTTATTTTTTCTAGAATAGTTTTTTTTTTTTTTTCAACGCTTGTCATTTACAGTACTTTATTTAATTATAGATTTACATTGCACATCATGATTTTTCAGGTGTGTTGTATGAACAGATCTGAGAAATATACGTGTGACACGTCACCTGGTACATATGCGAAGAGTTCCTATATTACTCCAGTGGATGCACTGCACCTCAGTCAACAGTGGAAAGTAAGATTGAAAATACTCTGCTTAACAAATAGAAATATTTGTATTTCTTTTGTTTAATGTAAAAGATTAAGCTTATACTCAATTGTAAACAAAATAAAGGATAGATAGTATGAAATAACAACTAGTGAAATTTTTGTCACAAATAATGTAAGTTCAGCGTAGCTTTGCGAAATTTGCCTAATAAGTGGTGCAAGGTTGGACGAAATACTCAGTGCTTGTTGTTACTTGGGTCATAAGAACGGGCAAGATTTTTCGGTTAGAATCAGAATAAAAATGGTGTGTCTTACCGATTACATGAATTAAAGACGACATAGGAGTAATTCATATTTTCTCTGCATTGGGAATTATCAGCAAAAGAACAAAAATCTTACATCAGACACTGAATATAATAGAGATTCTGATTATTTGATATGAAATTTTTTGATGATGCATTGAAGATAGCATTAGTTTGCCAGTGAATTATATATTGATTGTAGCAGTTGTAAATCTTAGACGCAGTAATACTGATTTCATAAGGCGTTCCATTTATTCGTTTTTACGATAAAACTAAACAGTTCAGTGACTTGCTTAGGTTATTGTAACTGAGGAGAAAATAATGAGTAATATTGAGGCGCTGAAAGCCACAATATCTTTCTTTGCTTAAAAAATTGCAAACAGAAATTTGTATCTTTAGAGTAAGTTTTTCTGATGAATCTGATGGGATTTCGGATGTCGAAAATGAATTAAGCTTTTGTAAATCCATTTTTTTTTTGTTAAGCAAAAGGAGCTGAATTCATGAAAAGTCGTTTTGTTACTGCCATTTGGCACATATAGAAATGCTATTTGTAACTGTCGACTTATGGACTTGGCTTAACAACTACTCTTGATGAGAAAATGGTTTAAAAAAGAGGTTAGAATGATTTTTTTTCTTTAACACCATCCTTTTTTTTAATGGCAACAGTTTAATGGATTGCGTAGAATTAGTCTGAAGCTGATCATAATGAAGTTCTTGCAGATTGAGAACTTCACAACTCTCGTGAAACTTGCTCTACCAGGAAACTGCTTACGAACAGGTTTGTTCCGTCACCCGCAACTTCCGGAAGCTTTCTGGCAGCTATGTTTATATCCGGGAGGAAAGCGAGCTGAGAATGCAAATAATGTTTCATTATTCCTGAAAATGTCTTCTACATCACCAACGAAAGAGGTGTGAAATTCGTAAAGGACTTTTATAATATAAATAATCACATATTTACCATTTTATTATTTCCATTAAATTCATTTCGGCCATTATGTTTTCATCTTGACCTCTGTTCGATTCGGTCCAGTTTTCGATTTGAATATTTTAAATTGATTGGTTTGAATTTTATATTTCTGTTCAGGTACGTATTAAAGTGGAATATCGGTTTCATTTTTTGAATGATAAAGGAGTAGCGCTGTTCAGTAATGTCAATGTTGGTGAATTTCATGCTAAACCTCCCAAAGGTGGACATTCCTGGGGTCTGCGCAATATTCCCAAGCAGAAGGTTATGAATTGTTATTCGTAATTAATAAATAGTTGAATGTAAGTTGGATTTATTTTAAAGGAGCAGCAGTTACTTCATCAACACGATTTATAAAGTTCAAAAGAAGCTTGAAGTTTAAAAGTGTAAAGTTTAAAAAGAGAAGGAGAAGTTGTCACTTGAGGGAGATTCTATTTTACACTTGGTTTTTGAGAAAGAGACGAAAACTTTTAAATAATGTTATGTATTTTGATGGACTGGACACCCTTTTTTCTTCGTTTTTTCTTTGCTACCGTGAAAGACGAGTAAAAAAAAAATTATAATGACATGATAATTTTGAAATGTTTAGATTCTGAACTGCGTACGGGATGATGGTTCACTTGTTATATCATGCCATATTGAATTGTTACCAGACATCAACCATACTCAGTGTTACAATTCTTGGAAGTTGCTTAATACAAATGCCCGAACGGTAGGTAGTTTTACATTTTCTTTTGAGTTGCACTTTCTTGATTAGAATTCTTTCGCCAGTCACATCTGATTTAGGTAAGTGGTGACTTCGTGAAGCGGCAATTAGCAGCATTTGACAATGGTTTTATGGCTGACTGCGTTCTGGAATGTTCTGGAAGACAGATTCCTGTTAACAAATTTGTTTTATCGGCTCACTCAGAGGCAAGTCTATTTATACTTTGCTGAAGTTAAATCATTACTAAATACTAAATAGCAAGGAAATATTAACTGTATTGACGGAATGAGAAAAGAACTAGAGAGATAATATTGTTGCAGGTATTTAAAGCGATGTTTTCGTATGATGAGTTGATAGAAAGTACAGAGAAGAAAGTTATTATTGAAGACGCTGAATATGAGGCTGTGAGGTATTCAATTTTTTATTTTCGCTGTGCTGCAAAGTTGATAATAGTTATTTCTTATACATAAAAGCTATATACTTTATTTTTACTATTCGTCTTCTACTTAGTGACTCACCACAAATTATTGTTTGCATTTACCACTATGTAATATTCGAAGGTTTGTGTCTAGTTGCCTTCAACTTTCATAGAATTTTGTAGGTGTATGCTACGATATATGTATACGGGAGAAATGGAACTGGATACCGAAGTGGCAAATGTACTGACATTAGCAGAAAGATATCAAATGGATGACCTTAAGTTAATTTGCGAACGAAAGCTTTGCAATCAGATTGATAAAAATAATATTGGAGAGATGCTGTATTTGGCTGATCTCTATAACTGTAAAATACTCCGAAGAGCCGCAGTCGATTTGGTAAGTTTGCGGATGACTTTAGAACCACGTCCTTTTCCCTTGCATAGATATTTAAAGAATTTTCTGGCTGCCCTGCAACTTCATTTAGATACTTGTTCCGTTTTGATCTTTGTTCTTGCATTCTTCTGTCCTAAAATGAGATAATCCATATCCCTTTTTTATGCTGTCATTTGTTGCTTCTTTGCTTTTTTAATCGCTTCAATTTCAATAACTCTTGACTTATTTTTCCCGCTTCAGATTTTAATAAATATGCTTCTATGCTAGTACATTTACATCCCTACGGGTCATTCAAATTGAATAGTTACAGCTACGCACAAACCATTCCGTATTTGCATCACACGCTTGGCGATTACTGAAAGAAACGAACCCACATCTTGTCACGGAGATAATGGAAAAAGCGATTTTTGGTGAAGAATCGCCACCACTGAAGCGACAGCGTCACCAGAAACTGCTGCTATCACAGCCTTCGGATGATGAATCTGTTTAAAATATACCTTATATTATCTTGAATGCTCTGTGAATATATTTCAGAGCCCTTCTGTGTATCTGCAGCAAACAATCATGTTTGTTCTCGTCTCCCATTCCCGATATTTGTTAATTTTGAGTAGACGCTCCTACATTGATATGTACAATAACATTTGTTTTGCATAGCACAGAACATCAGATTTTGGGCTTTTTTTTTTTTTGCTTTTATGATTTCTCGATTAGAGCTATTCAACAAGATGATTAAAAACTAAAAATCTCATCGATTTCTGGTTAGCATATTTTTTCCGTGAAGGATTATTTCTTTACACGTTGTATGGGTATTCCAGTTTTATTTTACTAATATTTTCTGAACAAAATAAATATGAATGAGAATTATTAAACACAAATATTTATAAAATTATAAATTTTCATAGAAGAAATATAATGAAAATATAGTGGAATATAAATCCAATCGGATCAAGATTACACAACATAATCATAAAATTTTCACAAAAAGTACTGACAATGAAGGAACACAAGAAGTTGCTTACCGCTTATCGCCAGCTTCTGGATGAATTACCCGATCCGTAATTACCTCCTCCCGTATACCCACCACCTCCACCATACATGTCTCCGGAACGACCGCCATACCCACCAGAGGATGGGAAATCGTCAAACAAGCTCCGTGTTCGTCCAGCATATGGATCATCATTATAATAACTTTTCCGACTTATTGGCTCGTCATCCCATCGACCGTAGGATGATCGATATGGATGCGAACGGTAATCCCGCACTCCAGAGTAACGAACAGGTTCCGATTCCTGTTTCTTTGGACGAGGTATACTAACATAAATACTCTTACCAGCACAAACAAAATCACGGATTTGGCAAAGACGTTTAACCACTTTCGGATCATTCAGCGAGACGTACGCGAAACCACGGCAAGGCTTAGGTAAAAATACTCGCTCAACCTGCAACACAAAAAGCTCTTCAAATGTTTTTATTTCTCAAAAATATTTGGGAAGAGAACAAGTGTGGCTTGATCCCAACACCAAGGAGGCCTCCTATAAGCAATAAACTAGCCTTCCTCATCTTGATTTTTAGCCTGAACCTTATTTGCCCGCAAAAACTTTTACTTCCAACCTCTTTTACCCCCAACCTCCTTTATATTTTCACTTGAGACTACAAAAACATTTTTCATGTAATAAAAAAACATGAACCTCAGAAGAAAAAAAGTCTATAAAAGAGGAAACAGATCTTAATATATGTGGATCAAGATACCTTGGCAAGCGGTGATATTTTCTTCGCTTCTTCATCAAATAATTTGTGAAGGTCTGTTTCTGTAATTTCTGCATATACTCGGCCGACATAGATTTTCGTTGTGATTCGATCATCTTGGTCTCCACCATCCTGTCCATGATCTGGGTATTTGACCTAGAAAACTCTTTATGTCCATGTTATTATAACAAAAAAATCAGGAACACAAATTGCTACTAACTTGAGCCATGCGACCGTCAATGTAGAAATCGCCTTCCTTCAGCACTTTTTCTTGATCCTCCAAAGTTTTCATTTTAATAAAACCATAGCCTCTAGGAAGACCAGTTCTGTAATCCTTCTTCACCTGAAAAGACTCGAATATTAATATTATAGCAATATATCTCTAAAATCACGATTTTTTTTTCAAAAAAACCAATTTTTGTCAAATTTTCGGATGATTTAGACACATCATAGATATTGACGCCAGATTACACCCAGCTGCACTCACAGGCTATAACATCGTTCATCGATCTCCCTTCCCTCATTCCACTTATAGTTAGTTGAATATGGCTAAGTTGTCAGCGTGATATTAACTACTGAAATAAAGTTCCGAAAGGTGCATAATAGACCAGAGGAAGCAAACTGTCAAAATCAAATTACGAAAAAAAAGTAATCATTTGTGCTGATATGTAAATTCAAGAATGGAACCTCAGCATATTGGACTTCACCGTACTGCTCGAAAAACTTTTTGAGCTGTTCCTCAGTAGTTTTGAATGATAGATTGCGGACGAATAGATCAACGGGCATGTTTAATCGATCAGTCTGTCCGCACTGTCCTTCCAGTCTGTCACTCGACGATAACGCTAAAAATCCAGCTGAACGTGTCAACAGCATAAATAAAGCGTCAATATGTGAGATGGAACACAAACCGGACTGTCACTGATTCTGCTATCACTTCACCGGGTGTGTCATCCTGAATCCCAGAAAGAGGGAGGACAAACTTTTACAAAACTTACAATCATCGATGATCGCTACATAGCGATGACCGTGCCAACCTCCTTTCGGCGCCAGTACACATTTTTTTCCCTCATCCACTCTGCAAAAGAATATAATATCTGATAACAGTTCCAAGTTTCTATGCCTGCATTAGAGCAAGATATCATAAAAATCACGGAATCACTTACGGAAGGCTACGGAATAAGCCAGTTGCAGGATTTTTATACTTCAATCCAACTGCCTTCGGAAAAGAATGCGACAACGTGAAACATGGCAAAGTACCATCAGATGCTAGAGGTAGCTCAAGCGGTGTACAATCTTCATCTTCCGTGGCACAAACACATACATGGTCCACCTCTTCACCGTCAGTCGCAGCTTAATAATAAAAATACTCGTGCAATTTCTCATCTCAATTTAACTGATACTTTTCGCTCAATTCTAGAGATGCCTACTTATTTTGCTTTCAGCTTACAAGACAGGAATAAAGAGCTGAAAGAGTGAGCTCATAACATGTACACCTACCTGATGTGTCTTGATTATTTTCCTGTTCACCAGCATCGTTTTCTTTCGTTTTCGCACATTCCTCTTCCTCTTCTTCTTCTTCTTCACGTGGTGGTATGTTGACGTCACTCATCTTTCAGTCTAAAATTAAAAAGTAATGTCTGACTCATTCTTTAACATACGCTTAAATCTCTAAATTATGAACAACTTAGACAGCAAAATTATGACATCTGAATTATTCCACGTACATTTTTTTATTTCGATTTCATCAACAATTCTCACTTTCATATATTATTACAATCCAGTGTAATTATCTAAATAAATCAGAAGTAATTTTGATTAAAAACTTTAAAAAATCAAATTACAGCATTTCCAAAAGAATGAATATCATCACTACTGAGAGTACCGCAGGACCACATCATAACCCATTCAGGTTGTCAAGTCATGGTACCTCCAATCCCGGAATGAACCTGCACCAACCATGCAGTAACCTTTCTTGTCCACTTCTAACCATGTTGTGGCCCTTGACCCGTTATGAAATAGAAGAAGATCAGGCTTGTGAATGACTGTAAGATGTGGTCAAATTACTTTGTTTTACTAGTTATTTTTGTTAAGTTATCTGGGTAGAATATGCTAATAGCTCATTGTTTTTTAATGAAAAAAAAAAAAAATTACAGCATTAAAAAATAAAAATTTCAAAGTTGAAAAGTCGGTACAACACTGGATGAGGAATTGCGGAATTTGGAAGTATTTTTGGCCTTGTTAAAAAGTATATAACTCTGTGCAAATATATTCAAAAAGATATGCTACAATGAAAGGAATCATTTATACTTTCATATTTATTAACTTTTATAATTATAATTGTAATTCATATTTTAGATTAGCTTAGCTTACTATCATATATTCACATTTATGTAATCGATATTGTGCACAGAGAATAATATGAGAACATCGCATAATATCCGTTATGTGATGCTAACAGTGTCCATTATATGATATTACTGTCATTGGTTAAAGAAGTTTCAGCTAACTGCAATGAATATGCATGGAAGTTAATGGTATTTTTATAAATTTTGTAAACTTGATTTTTGGATAAATGAAGGATTCGAATTAATCTAATTTGAGCTAATTAAACAAAATTTGAATTTGATTTAATCTAGTTTAAATTAATCAAACTAGATTTTGATATCTAGATTCGGATTCCGGAAGCTGAGATGTACGTTTCATTTTGGCCTTGACGGTAGCAACCGGTTCTGAGTTAGTGATGATCATTGATGGTTACTCGGTGCTTTTCCTTTTTACTGTTGGTGTATTGGTATGTTTTTACTTCTCCATGGGTAGAACAATGATACTTAGTCATCATTTTTGATACTTTTGTAAGCTTATTATTGATCTAGCTCTATGACCATTTATTTACTAAGTTGTTGGTAGCGTTTGATATTCTGAATTACGTACATACTGGATAGAGCTTTAAAAGATGAAAAATGTCTTCCCAGTTATAAAAATTATAGATTACCATCATTTTGGCGATATTTGTTCAACGGCAGATATTCCGAATGCGTGATAACAGTTTACGTCGGGAAGCTAATATTGTCGTTGGAGCGGGTTTATCAAAGGTATTCATCCATTCAGTCATGTTCTTTATAGCTTTAATAGCCGGGTTCTTCATCTGATAGTATAAGAGAAAACAACTGTCGAGCATTTTACTCCCAGCGTTAAACGCTAGCAATTGGACGGATTTCGATTAGTCAGTTGATTCGTGTATTATCATTTATTGAATTATAGAAGTGCTAGAAAATAGCGTGCGAATAGTCAAATAATCATTCATTCATTTTTCCTCTTTTCGAAAATGCATTCCAAGCATTTGATTTCTATTATATTTAGCGCAAAAAGGAAGAACTTGACCGAGGCATTGAAATTGTTCGACAGTTTCAACTTCTGCGTGCTCCAAAATTTACCGAAATAGGAACTATTGCTGAACGTAAGTTTTTTACTTACTAGTTTTTTGCTAGTAATTCTGATCATTGATGCTCACTTCTGCTATGCTGGGAGGTGTCTTATCTCTTTTTTTTTAATTCATCCTCTTTTCTGTTTACTTTACTTACCTATTCAGTAGTGGATTGCAAATTGATAAAATGTTTTTATTCTTTCAAATAAAGCATTCTAATTTCAGATGCCAATGCGCCTTATATCAATCGAATGATTGCCATGGACGAACTGCGAGAAATTGGTAACTTTCTGGTATGATTAGGGCCACCAATCTCTCTACATTTAGTGAGTCTTGCGTCAGTCTTGTCTAGTCAGCTTTATTATTATCAGTATGTCTTAAGTGTCACATTATATCACCAGTAATGGAAGATGCACATCATGTGTAGTGGACCAGTTCTAGAGCTTGAGGTTGAGAAAAATAGCATGATATGTTCACTTGCATGAAAAAAACTTGTGATTAGTTATATCATATTTTTATGCACAGTTTATAGCGTGTTGAAAAAATCGAATCATTTTGGTTAGAATGAACATTTATTGTTCTGAAGGTATTGCTGATACATAAAGAATAATGCAGCTTTAGTCAAATATCTTCAGTCTTTAAAATTCCAGAGCGACAGTTAGAGTTCATAAATGGTGACCTTGTTCGCATAGCAGGTGAGTCGATGTATGCTTATTTGTCTCGAATTCGTCAGATAGCACTACCTTCGCTATCGGAGCATCTATGTGAACGAATCGGTTTATTGGCAGAACACTGCAGATATCGACATCAGGTCAGGACATATTTTTGCCTTTCCATCTCTGTTTAGTATTTTAAAGATTTCATTACTGCTATCATTCAGAGCTGTACAGATATTTGCAAAAATATTTTAAGTGGAAATATTTCAGCCCTTCGGTGAATCAGAATTAACCGAAACTCGTGCACTGATCAAAGAAATTGTGAAAATGTAAGTTACAATGTCTTTTAGTGGCATTATCAAGTCTTGTAGTATTTTATAAAGTCTTATAAAGAAAATCCACTGACTGGATATTTCAGATTAAATAATGAACAGGAACGCCTCTCTGCGTTTCATGCCAAAGAATCAACCAGCTCAACATTACAAGAAATTACCAAGAGGTATAATGTAAATTTTGTTAGTCGTTCATTCATCATTATTTACTACATTAACTCTGTTCTACTAATTCTGCTTATTCTTAGGTTAACAACAGGAGAAAAAGGGACGCACAAAAGAAGCACAACTGTGAATGCGATACGAAATGCTTTTTTGTCATCTGATAAGGTTTCTCAGTGAATATTCTGTTGTTTAATCTAATTAAATGAAATTTATCGCTGTTTCCCATTTTATGTTTTATCATATATTAAGCAGTTTTCAGAATGAGACGACATTAGCAAGAGCAGAAGATGATCAGAGGAAACCATTGATAGCTGATGATAAGAAGACAGTTAGTGACACACCTGCACTTCATATTTTGAGTTCTCGTATAACTACTGCCGACACTCAAAACACAAAACCCGTGGAGCGCACTCCACTTATTGCATAAATATCTACCTTCATTAACAATGGCGTGAGGAGTGGGAGTAGTAGTCAAAAGCCACAAGTAAAATGACAAAGCTTGAAGAGTTTAGAAGAATCTAAGATTCAGAGCAGTATTTGAGTGGGCTAAAAAATTGCAGTTAAATACAAAACTGCAGCAATTTCTACTTTATTTATTATTAAGTCCTTTCTTCGCATGCCATTGTAAATATAGAGCGGAAGCTTTTTTCAAGTTATGGAAGATGCTGCTCCGTTTACTTATTTTCAAAACCAACAGTATTCAAAGTATTTATTGTATATATATTTTACAAGTGATATTTGTTTTGCGGGTCTTCTCATCTTCCTCTTTTTTAATATTGTAATAAAAACATAGGAATGGTTCCAGAAATACCACAAAATCATGTGTGATATAATAATACATGTTGAAAACATGTAAATCCAATTAAAGTGCTGATGTAATAACTGACCAGATCGCTTTAATGATTCTTATATATGTTTTTTTTTTTTAAGTTGAACAACCCTAATTTCATGTGCTATTCTAAATTTTATTGCAAATTTTGTGACGGAGTTTCTGATTAACTTTGAAAGCTTACGAGAAACATTTTGGGGAAATCTCATATTCATCCCAATCATAGAAATCGAAACTCCTTAAGCAACTGTATATCGTTTAGAGAAAGGATGATGTCAATTTACTGATCGATATAGCAGTCAAATATGATCAGATTATCTTCACCATGATAATACACTGCAAAATGGTAAGTTAGTAGGAACTTTCTTATCAATTTTGCGATTTAGAAGACAAAAGCCCTTATCAGTGTATTTGTGAATAAGTAAAGCAAACTATTCAACGTAAAAGAAACATTCTCAAGTTTGACTTCCTTATCAAAACATGATTGATAAAACTTACTCATATCCATGCCATTTTTTTTTCCACACATTGCATCGTGTGTTACCTTCCTCTGCATCACGATTCCCGATCGGTTTATAAGAGGGGATATGTCTCATAGGTTTCCGATGCTTGTTTTGATTAGCTAAACCTGTTCGTGGTATTGATATCATTATGGAATCGTCCGATACCCAAAATTTATCTTTTTGCAATGGTTCTGCAATTCTTTACCTTGAGAAAGACGATGAAGATATTCACTGTATATATTGCCATGAACGAGAATAGATTGTAATATAATTAGTACGAGAACAGACCGTAATCATTCATCTGAAGTCGATCAACGATGGCGAAAGATACGCCAACGTTACGCTCGAAGATATAGTCAAGCTCGAAGTCATCATCATCCATACCAAAGGGACGCATCAAGTCTTGTCCTACCTGAACTTCAGATATCCAAATTAATTATTCCATCAATCCAAAAAGTACTGGATTATTTTACAAAGCCTGGTACAATTAAATGCAAAAATGAATTCTTAACTCTGAAATTAAAATTTTTCATACTCTCAAATACATTAATTACAAATAAATTAGTGGTAATTATGTGAAGGGAAAAATACTTCCAGAAATGTAATAAATTGTTTACTTTGAACCAGCCGACGAAGAAAAGGAATTGAACGATTGTAAAGATCGGAATAATAAGATCTACTTCATGATCTCGATATTTTTTCGACGGATCCAAATACTGTCTGCCTATGAGGCAAAAGCCAAAATGTGCGTAAGTGGCTAAAGCTGCTACCTTCAAATTTTAACATCCTTCAATTCTTAGATATGAAATAAGAGCAAAGCAAATCTATCATTCCATTCTTCTTCAAAAGATTTTTATCTCTAAATCTATTGACTAATCTAATATTTGAATGAAAAAGAAACACAAAGAAATTACCTGAGTGTAAACCAATGGTACGCATACCCAATCATAGGAGAATAGTTTACGAAATGCTGCTCGATAGGCTTTTAACTCTTGCATGAAATGATTCACGAGAGCTTGAGGAGGTGCATTATCACTTAATTCATCCATGACAATTTGCTGTACCCAATGAAGTGGTATCATCCATCGTATATTTTTAATTTCTCTCTGCAATAGATTGTGATACTGCACATATTACAAATCATTTTGTTTAAGTAATTGTTAAGTTAGCATAAGTAATAGTTAAATCATCATGTTAAGTTAGCATAAGTAATAGTTAAATCATCATGTTAAGTTAGCATAAGTAATAGTTAAATCATCATGTTAAGTTAGCATAAGTAATAGTTAAATCATCATGTTAAGTTAGCATAAGTAATAGTTAAATCATCATGTTAAGTTAGCATAAGTAATAGTTAAATCATCATGTTAAGTTAGCATAAGTAATAGTTAAATCATCATGTTAAGTTAGCATAAGTAATAGTTAAATCATCATGTTAAGTTAGCATAAGTAATAGTTAAATCATCATGTTAAGTTAGCATAAGTAATAGTACTAACCGAACTTTCGTTAATCAATTGTAATTCTGTCTCGGTAAGAAGACCACTTTGCACTAAATGTGACAGTGACGGAAAGCGACGTCGAATAGTGCTCGATATTTCTCGACTAAAATATTAGCATACCTAATTGATGAAATTTTAACAACATATATGAAAAATAGTCTGATAATATAAATACTAACTAGACAAGAGCAGCCACCAAGTTGACATATCGAGCAATAGTGTGTCGCCGTTGTTGACTCTTGATATCCTTACCTGGTATTAATGTACATAATAGTGACAATATATCTTCTGGCCAAGGTATGCATTCAAATTGTCGCCACCACCTGAAAATTTATGCATAAATTTTTAATAAAGAAAAGATTGATATTTAAAAAATGAAAATGATGATAGTTTTAGTTTCATTATTTCTTTATGTAAACTTATAGAGAAATCTACATTGATTGATTTTTCAGATCATCCTATTTCAATAAATAATGTTGTAAATAAACAGAGTGTTTATTTAAAAAAAAAAAAAAAGAAAGAAAAGAAAAAAATGATTTACCTGATAACTACATTGGATACATAGAAACCTAATAAAAATGTAAGAGGTATCATTTTTGTATATTGATCGAACGTTATTGCAATTCGTTCAAATTCAAACCTAAATTAATAAAAATTTGACAAAATTACTATTACTAAATAGATAGAAATTAATTCTTATATTCATAATTTAGATTAAATACAAATAAATTAAATTACCTATATTTTTCAGGATTTTCCTTATCAAGCAGCGGTAATATTTGATTGTAGATGAGTCGAATAATATAATAAAGGATGAGAAAGATAAATAATTCTCTCCAAACTAATCGCCATAAACTTCCTTTCCATCGAATTAAAAGACGACAGAAGTTACCCGTATATGAAATTGTCATTCTAATTCCACCACAGAGAGACTATTTGTTATTTTATGACTGATTTAAAACTGTCTTTGTTATTGTAATCATCGATTTTCTTTTTTTTTTTTTTTTTATGAAAATGTTAAAATAAAGAATGAAAAAGAGGCAAAGATTCCTGTTGTCGTTGTCATTGTTGTTGTATTGCTATATTACAACAGCTGTGTCATCACAATACCAGTCATAACACAACCTTTAGTAGCAAATGAACCATCCATCGATCGATCGATCAATATTGAAATGTGACAATAGTTTGTGTCACATCCTATTTGATGACATCTAATGAGTTGACATTAAGTTAAAATTTTCACTCATACAATGACATCTGTTCTCAATCATTTAATAATCTTTCATAGGATAATAATAATTCATTCATACTTTTAAAATTCAATACATAATCATTTGTTATTCTTATAAAAAAATTTTTTTTTTTATATGATTCATTAAAATTCCTCAAAAAAAAAATAGTTAAAAAATATTTGTCATATGATTCATTAAAATTTTTGATTTTGTTCTTATTAAATTTCACATAATAATGATAATTTCTTCTTATCAAATTATTGATATAAATTTGAATGAAAAAAAAAAAAAAGTGGAAAATTTACACATTTGAAAATTATTCTACATTCTATCTTATAAATTACAATTTAGTGTTTATTATTATTTGAAATAAAATTAAGCAAAAAAATATGGCAAATGTAGATGAGATGATATAAATTAGTACAGTTAATTGTTTTATCACTTTATCAATGAAATGCATTAATAGTAACATTTAACAAATTTATAAATGATATTTGCTTTATTATTCATTCTTTTTTTTTTTCTGATAATAGTTAAATTTCATTTTTATTTTTCACAAATTAACATTACTACAAAATAAATATGTTTAAAAATAAATAAATAAATAATAATAAAAATAAAAGGCAAAAAAAGGAAGTATTTAAATGTTCGCATTTTTAATGCATAAAATATTTACTAATTTGTAAAAGTGTTTGCATTTTCATCAATAATAACAATAAATAAATGATAGAATATTATGCAATGCCAAAAAAAAAAAAGAAAGAAAGAAAGAAAAAAAGAAAAAAATTATTTATTTACTTCAAATTAATATAAAATATGCATATTAAAAAGTTTTTAATTGTGTAAAAAAAAAAAAAAAAAAATTTTGCTTATTATTTTATTCGAATAATTTCAATTAATAAATACATTTAGTAATGCAAAAAAATAATTTCTTTTTTTTTTTAAATTTAATTATATTCCGAAAAAATTTAGAATTACTTAATATTTGTAAAAAAAAAAAAAAAAAAAATAAAGAAAAAAGTTGAGGATAATTAACCTCTATCTATTTCAAATTTAACATTTATCATATTATCATCATTTCAAGATATTGTGCATGACCTTTTTTTGCTTGCAGCATGCTTTCTGGCCAATAATTCAATAGCCTTAACTTCAATATCACTATAACTACTTCCTCGAGTATTTGGCATTGATTGACGACGTTTTTTCATTTGGGTTGGATGAAAATCACCAATTTCACTTAGTACACGCCGAAAAATCTCGGTTACCTGTAATAAATAATAAATTGATTATTTTCCATTAAATTATCATAATTATTTTATGAAAAGAAATTAATTTTAAACAATAATCAAAAAATAATTTACATTTTAAGAGATAATAATTTAGAAGTAATTAAATTATCAATTAATTTTATACAAATATATGTATTAATAATATAACTTATTTGAGTATTTATCTTTTTTTTTTTAGGTTCACAAAATTTATCACAATAATTTGAGATAAATTAGAAATGATAAGAATGAAAAAATTTTTACCTGGAAAAGATTAGTAGCAGAAAGGGCAGCAAAATGCAGCTTATTCTCGACCGCATAAATTCTCGATTCTTTTGTTGCCCATTGTTCTTCACATTCATACAAATCGATCTTATTAGCAACCAAAAGTATTGGCGCTTTTTTGTTATTTCGTAGTCGAACTTCTTTAACAATATCTTTAGCTTCATCTAATGATATTGGATCATCCACTGCAAACACAATCTAAAATTTAATATAATAAATAGAAATATGAAAATAAAATTAAATGCAAGAAGAGATAAATTTTAAATTGATTATATTTCGATAAATTTATTTATATCAATATTAATTAATAAATAATCTTTTCTTGAATATCAATTATTCAATTTATTCTAGTTTTAATTACAAAATTTATCACTTTTATTTGATTAAAAAATTATCATTAAAATATATTCATTTATCAGATAAGTTATTCAAATTGAAAAAAAAAAAAAAAAAAAACAAAAGAAAAACCTACAACAAAAGCATCACCAATTGTTTCATATAAATGTCTCATAGCCAAAAAATCCCGCGATCCACTAGAATCGATTACCTAAAATAAATTCAGCTTCACTTTTTTTTTTTTTTTTTTTTAAATGATTGATAATAATTCAAATGACAAAAAAAAAAAAATTGAAATTTTAATGAAATTTGTTTTTATACTTGTAAAAGTGTCTTGCCACCGTCATCTTTCTTATATTCAATCCAATTGAATTCTTCCACTGTTGGATGATACTCTCTGATAAATTCTTCCCATAAAAACTGACCCACAAGGGCACTTTTACCAACCTATTAAATAAATATCAATTTTTTATCTTTTGATTAATTTAAACTTAAAAAAGAAATATTTTATTAACTTTTGCATAAAATGAAATATTATAGGTATTACCTTAGAGCCTCCTAAGACGAAAAGTGTATATTGGGTTGTTGTGACGACGGATGAATTATGACGTTCACGTACTGAACCAAATTTTAAACGCATTCCGCATGCATTTACGTGTTAAAGTTTAATTCTTCCTGAAAAAAAAAAAAAAAAAAAGTGATCGTACAGAAAATACTAATTAATGATTCATTCGAAATTTACATTAATTATTTATCCATTGTAATCAGTTAATGACATTCAATTTTTGAAATTTACTGAAATTCGAATTTAAAATTCAAGAAGAAATATGCAAGCCAGAAATGCAAGTATACAGTTTTCACGTTATTTAATTATTGATTCACTTTTTTGGCGTATACACACGCACACGTACGCACACGTACACACAAATCATAAAACTTACAGTATTAAAATTTTTTTTTTTAAAAAAAAAAAAGATTTCAACAAAATGACAGTAAGGTAAGTTTTAATCGTATTGACAATAGCAGAAATTAATTTCAACGGTTGGTTGTTATTCTAGTGACAACTCTAATGTCACCGTCAAGCATTTATTTGTTCTGTCTAATTAGTGGTTAGATAATTGTTAAAGCTTAATATCAGCCAAGCATTGCCATGAGCCAAGTTTTTTTCATGGCCAATAACATCGCTGTGGCAACTTTTGTCACAAAAATTAATTTTACAAGTAATTTCAGGTGGAAAAGTCTTAATTCTATTGCAAATTAATTTCAATTCGTATTGTACACATTGATTAAACTTATTTATAAATATAATTATTATTAAATTTTAATTACTATAAGTTTATTAATTTTGTTATTTGAACAGTTAGAGTGATAATTGAAATTATTTACTTATTTATTTATTATTATTGTTACTGTTATTGTTATTATTATCATTATAACATTAATATTATTGATTATTACTTGCTGAAATGTTGACAATTGTAAATTATATGGCAAATATATGAGAAATATGAGTTGTACATACTTACCTACAACAACTTGATAACTTGACTTTTCTTAGGTAATACTATTACTTAGACTTCTTTTGCTAGCAATTATGAGAAATATGATTTATTGCGTAAGATTCGCTCTAAAATTGATTAATATAATTTTTTCTTTTTTTCGCCGATAATTATAAAGTAACTCAAATTCTCCAAAATATGATTAACATTACTCATTGCTTATTATTTCTACTATAGATTATCACTCTCACTTATCACAGTTATCAATGATAATATCATTACTATTGAACAATTTAACATTAATTAATAACAATCATTTTTATCAATCAAATTTGTGAAGAAGGAAAAAAAAAAAAAAAAAAAACAGAGAGAAAATGATAAAATGAAATTGTGTTTAACATTAATATTTAATTTAGCAAATCGTTTATTTAATTTAGCTTTAGCTGTTAATTTAATATTTATTTAAAATGTTAAAATTTTTTTCTTTTTTAAAATTTTTACTAATTGAAATAAACTGGAAAAAAAAAAGAAAGAAAAGAAAACTAAATAAGAAAAAAAAAAAAAAGAGGTAATAAGCAAACAGAAATACTCTTTCTAATTATTTGTTAATTTATATATGTCTATTTCTATTGAAAATAACTTAATCATTTACATATGAATGTATAAAGGAGCAATTAGCAATAATAATAATAATAATAATAATAATAATAATAATAATAATAATAAAATAATAATAATAATAATAATAATAGTAATAATAATAATAACTTAACCATTTAAATTTTTATTACTAACAATAAATAAAATCTATTGAAAGTAATATTACAATACAAATATGATAGTTTATTTTTTTTTTTTTTTTCTTTTAAATTGTTAGAAATGCTTTAAAAACCAAAAAAAAAAAAAAAAACTAATTAGTATAATCGAAAAGGGAAACATTTTATTCAAAATCATTGAATATTATTCATCCATCATCATTGTGGCTTACTTCTCATCAACCACTAATACAATTTTTCTCACGGCAAACTGCTAATAATAATACCTTTTCTAATGAAAGTACGTACTTACCTCAGAAATGGTCAATGATCATTATTAGATACAAAATATGTAAAAACTTTCCTTTTGCTTATAATTATGGATAAAATATTATACAAAATTAACTGACATAATCAAATAACTCAAAAAGAAAGAGAATTTTTACGTAATTCATTTTAATATATGTTCAAAAATACGCTTAACATTTAATAAAATCAAATAGTAGGCGTAAAATAATTAATATGTAAATAATTATTTTTGCATTATTATAATTTATTTAAAAGAAGAAAGAATGAAATGAAAAAAAAAAAAAAAAAAAAAAAAAAAAAAAGAAATTTTTTTTTTTTCACATTTAATAATATAAAATAAGAGATGAAAAAAATTGATAAAATTTTGATAACAAATATTATCGTTTTTTTTTTTTTTTTTATTTAATCTTTAAATACAAACATAATTTTTTTTTTTTTTTTAATATAAATTTTATCAATATCAATGATATTTAAATATTTTCTTACAATTATTTAATGATATATATATATATTATCAATTACTAAAAGAAAAAAATTGAAAAAATTCAATATTACTATTTGTTCTGGTAAAATATAAAGAAAAAAAAAAAAAAAAAAAAGTTTGAAGATTTTAAGAATTTGCAATCTCTCAATTTATTTTCTGTTGCAATGATAAAAATTAAAAATTTCTGTACAAAATAATATTTTTAAGATATAAACGGCAATTTTTAACATTTTTATTTTAAAATTAAAAATTTGAAATTTTTGTTAATTTATATTTCTATTATTTATTTATGCACAATAACAAATTCCAAAATGGATAAAAGTTCAAAAATTGAAAATAATTATGTTACATTTGAATTGAAAATATAATGAACTTATAATTATCAATTCAATTTCTAATAATTGCTAATTATTATTTCAATTTTTTTTTAAAATTTTAATTTCTGCTTTAGTAAAATTTATAGCTGATGACTAATTTTGTTTTCAATAATATTAGCAATTATCATTTTAATAAATTTCCGTATTTTAACTTTTCAATTTTGTTCATTGATTTAATTACTTGAAATAGAAATGTTTTGCAAAAAAATTTCAGTCAGTAATTAATTAATTTGATAATATTAATTAAAAACTATTTCAATTCACTAACAAAATTTCATTTATTTTTAAATTATTTCATTTTTTAGTTTTAAATCATTTCATATTCTTCATCCATCTATGAAATTATTTTATTTTATTTTTTCTTTAATAGTACTATTTACAAACTTTTATATATTCAATTCATCTTTTGCTAACCTTTTTATTATTTTATATTAATAAATATATTTCTTAAAAGTAATCTTATTAGCCAATTGAATATTTTAGATTATAAATACTTCTTTTCATTTTACAACCATACAATTTTAAAAATTTTCAAATTTGTTTTATTTTATTTTTGAAATAAAAATTTATAATCGTTTTATAGTATACTTTTTATCGTTATCATATATTATCATAAATGATTTTTACAATCTTTGATAATAGCCAAACTCATTTAAATTTTTTCTTACTTTCTCTCTCCCTCTCTCTCTCTCTCTCTCTCTCTGAATTCCCTCTTATTTGCATAAGTTATTAACTAATTATGAAAAATTTGATAAAAATTTCTTCTTGATTCATCCTATAATTAATATTATTGATCATTTCATTTTCTCATTTATTTCAAATATATTTTATTTTTCTTTTTTACGATTAGTTTCTTCTAATTAACTTATCTGTAAAGTAATTCTGCAATAGCTTAGCTTAATCATATATTTAATTGAAAAACAATTCGATATTTTAAAAAAGTTTCACAAATATAATCCACTTATGCTAGCTAACCTTTAATCGATTGAAGGTTAGCAAATGAAAGGAAAAAGTTGAAAAAGAATTTAAATTTAAATTTAAAAGTAAACTGATAGCTGTATGATTGACTGTTGCAATTGAATTAATTCATTAATTAACATTTAATAAGTTATTGTTTTATTGTTTTTGTATTTTAGTAATAAATTAAATTAAATTCGAAATAAAAATATCGCATAAGTCAGATAGACAAAGCAAAAGAGAGAAAAAAGAGAACAAAAGAGGAAAATTTTAAATTTCTTTAAATTATGATTTTTTGTTTTTTAAAAATTATACTATAAAAAATAAAAATAAAAAAAATGCAAAATATATTAGTGATGTGAGTTTACACAATTTTTTCTTCAATTGTATTTTTTATTTTTTATTTTTATTTTTTTATTAAAAACCAATTAAAAATAGTACACTTGAAAAATGAGCAATAATAACAATATGAGTTAACTGAAATAAACACATACTACTGCTATGGAAATATTTTTCAATAATCAATTAGTTAATACTTTAAAGTAATTTCAAGTGATATTTGTTTAATAAATAATAAAAAGTAAATAAAAAAAAAAGTATTTTAAAAAGTAAATAAGAAAAAATAATACTACTGTGATAAATCAAAGTAAAAAGAATCAATTAGTTAATGTTTAAAAGTAATTTCAAGTGATATTTGTTTAATAAATAATAAAAAGTAAATAAAAAAAAATATTTAAAAAAATTTTAAATAAGAAAAATAATGCTATTGTGATAAATAAACATTAAAAAAAAAACAATACAGCAGTGGAAATATTTTTCAATAAACAATTAATTAAAATTTTAAAGTAATTTCAAGTGATATTTGATAAACAAATAATAAAAATCACTAAATGTTATTGTTTTGTTTTTTTTTTTTAACCTTTTTTCTTGCTTATTATTAAAGAAAATTTTTTACTTTCGCTTTTTTTAAATTTTTGAAAGTTTTTTTTTTTTGTTTTGTTTCTTGGAAAAATCTATGAAAAAAAAATTAAGCAATAAGGAAATAAATTATAAAAAAGCAATGTTTCATTTCATTTTTAAAATTGCTAATAATACAAAATGAATTAATTTGAAATGAAAAAACTAAACAAATATTACACTTAAAAAATTTTTTTCATTAATTAATGATTGCATAAAAATAATTTAATTAATAAATAAACATATGTTTTATATTCAAATTTTTTTCGAAAAAAAAAAAAAAAACTTTAAATTGTTATATT